GGAAAGTTCCTCCTTCAATCAAGTCCTTGATACCCAACAGTTCAGCTTGGGGTGATGACACCAAAGTCTTTTCCTCGGTGGTTGCTGGCCTCACCTGCTCTGGTGCGCATCGGAAGATCTGCCTACGATGGGCCAGTATGAGATTCCTGCCAACCTGACCGATAACAATTGCAGTGCCATGCCACCTACCACCTTGTTGGACCTGTCCTTGTAGATACTTTTGTTGGCGCCAATAGGCCACACAATCACCTGCTTGAAAGGCCTGTGTCAAACGTGGTCTGGCAGACAAGGCACGGCGGAGAGACTTGTCGTCCTGCAGTCGAATTACGGCTTCTCTGGCTGACTGGCGAATCGCCTGGGCTTTTGCCAGTGCTGCTTCTGTCAGACCGGCTGTGGCTGGAACTACCTGCAGAGGTTCACTGAGCAAATCCCCTGGCAAGCTTGGATTCAGACCGAACACATGTTGGTGTGGAGTAAAACCATAGCTTTGAATCATGGTGTTCTTGATATGAGCATGGCGAACACATTCTTCCCATTCTTCTCTAGTATTGGGAGTGTGTTCACCTATGATTTTGGCAAGTACTCTGGCAAACCAACCTCCATGGTTCTCGGTTCTGCCCAGCTGCCAGTGCGCTTCAGCTGCGATCTGTCTCACATTGGTGCCTTCAAATTCCATATGCGATTGCAAGTTCTCTCCCATATTGGTTGGTGCAGGATCCAGTATCAGCTCCTTCGGGGGACCCGCCCATGCAACCCAGTGAGTCGAATACAATTTCCTCAGAAGTGCCGATGTTTCGACCTCATAGAAGGGTATAACCTGTTGAAAACAATTGGCTTGATCCACTATGTTGAGAGCTTTTACTTTCTGATTGGGCTTCCAACCGGGAAGATACTTGACATCTATCCCCACCTGCTCATTGAAACTGGTCGCACGGTGAGTCTGTGCTGGAAGCGGCACATGTGGCTTGATTCTGGCCCGGCAAAAGTCACACGAGTGCTCACGAGCCAATCTCAAGGCTAATTCACTGGCCTGACCGTGCTTCAGGATTCGAATGAGATCATGATTTGCAGGGTGACCCAAATTCCGATGCAGCTTATCCAATGCTTTTTTGACTTGTTCCTCATCCGAACTTTGGAGCTCGGTTCTGGCAGCAAGGACTTCAGACACACTGGACTCGCTAGGCCTGGGCTCAGACATCACCTCCAGCACTGCGCTTTGGTTGCGATACTCTGGAACGGTGTCTAGCACAGCTTCAACAAAGGCATGAGTGTATTGACCTGCAAACTTGCTGATTGCACCTACTTTGGGATGACTTCCAGCTACAACATCATGACATACATGGTGAGAACATTTTCTTCCAGGGCAAGTTCGACCTAGCACTTCCATGGCTTTGTCACTGACCAAGAGTTTCGTGCTCTTGCGGATGAAGTTCTGACTTCCAGGCAGGCGCAGGCCAAAGCGGCACATATGGCATTTGACCACATGGTACTGTCGCAACAGCTTCAGCATCTCAGGGTAAGTCCACAGACGTGATCCCCTGAGGGGTGCTCAAACAGTGCTTGGCCACCTAGCTCCACCTGTTGCCTGAAAAGTTCACAGCAAAAACGGATAAACATCCTACTCTGAGCCCTGCGTCTCAACACCTCCTGAGGGTCCATGGTCAAGCTATTCAGATGAAACCAGCCTCCCTCATTTGTGCACGGCGGACATAGTACCAGCAGTCGTGGCGGATCTGCAGCTAACTGTTCTTTCACCTGCCTACGAACGCTTGAAACCGTGAAATCATATCCATTCTTGATGTCAAACGACACTGCTCGAAAACCCTGGGCACTGACGACAGGAGAAAAACGTGGTGGTGAGAAAACTTCTGCTACCATCAGTGTCGAACAGCTTGCTGCCAAGATCTCTTGCCTTTGGTGTGACCTCTGGACCTGTGTCTCTAACTGGCGAAGCTGGCGGACACTCAGGCACTCAGAAATCACCTGTGAATTCTCCTCAGGGATAAACGAAAAGGTTGTTCGAGTGTGCATAACATGTTTGGGCAATGGCTGATGGTACATGTGCTTCCCCAGGTTATGATCTATTGATTCATCTCGGATTACTTCCCCGTTATCCCGATTCACAATGATTCTATGTCTTACACTCCTCCAGCTGGGGCCCTGCTTACCAGTGGTTGTTGCCTTATCTAAGAAGGAGTGATCTATTTCCCATTTGGACAAAGCTGCATTGTCTCCTGTGGTGTCGGAAACTGTAGGCTCTGTAGTCTCAGGCGGCGCTGCTGCATCAGCGGCAGGATCATCTGCCCTGACACTGCGTTCACTGTCAACGGCGGCTTCGGACATCATCACTTCCTCAAAAGGAGGAGTCTTCTCGACGGCATTGCCAAGCAGTGGAACCACATACTGTCCAGCGCTGTTCACCTGCAGAGGAATCACTTCCTGGCTATCAAAGACCGTGAGCTCGTTTTTGGAAAAGTCCAGTTTGGCGTGTAGAGATTGCAAAGCTTTTCGAGACACCAGCAGAGGAGCCTCTCCTTTTACCAGGGCCACTCTCACAACTCCAGATTTACCAGCCAGAACCACCGGTGCCTTGACTGACATCTCAGAAGTCTCACGCTGTCCATTGCCGAATCGAAAATGATTGGTCTCTGCATAAGGCTCTGGAACAGGAATACCCTGAGCCTTCCACAGTTCAACGAAGCCTTCAAAAGTCTTTTTCCCCATGATCGATTTGCCACAACCGCTGTCCAGCACTCCAAACCCAGGACTCGAAACCAGAAGGGCTTCGTTGACCTCCTGCATCTCAGTAGGTTTGGTGTGACTCAGTCGGTCTCGCAGTCTGTCGATCATGGTGACAGGGGCCCCCACTGAAGCAATGAAGTGCTCCACATAGGCCGTTCCCGACTCCTTCCTGGCAGTAGATTGACCTCCAGAGCCAGAGGGAACACCCTTGCCGCTGCTCTTGCCCTCAGTTCGGGGCCGCTTGCACTCTCGACTCCAGTGGCCAATGACTCCGCATCGGTGACAACGAGTCTTTTTCTTGATCTCCTCGACCTCGACCCGAAACTGACGTTTCAAATCCGCGGCTTGGCTAAAACGCCGATTTCGTTGCATCTTGGTGATCTCCTTGCGTTTCTCTTTCCAAGAGACAGCCATGACGTCGGCTACGTCACGCTCTGCGAAGATCTCGGGCTCATCATCATTCTCTACCTCAACCATTTCATGCTGAGCAAGGAACTGTTCCACATCTTCAAAGGTTTCACCCTCATCCCAAGGTTCACTTAGATCACCAGAGGCTTCGATGAAGACTTCGTCCTCAACCATGCCGGCTCCAAGTGCTCGTTTGCGAGGAGCAGTGAAGTCGGGGTAGCACGACCTCATGGCCCGACTTACTTCCTCCCTTGTTAGCACTCCCAGGGATCTGGCAAGCACTACCGCCTGCTGTTCCTCGCTCAGGCCTGATCGCCTGCACTATCCATCCCCGTGCCTCCTCCGGGAATGAGACATTGCATTTCCTCTGACACCTGTCGAAGAGTTCAGATGCCCTACTCACCCAAGTCTTCAGCGACTCGCCTTCGGTCGCCTTCAGGGAGAAGACCGCACTCAGGACCTCTGCCATCTCGTCTGTGTTGTCTTTCTGAGGGAACCGTTGATCCAGCAGCTTGAACAACACAGCTTGTCCATCCTCCTTTTGGTACTCGGCAGGGTCCAGGTGCTCCACACACTCCAAGACCTTGCCACTCAAAAGAGTGTACACGTAGGCTCCATGAGCCTCTTTCGGAACCTTGTCGCTCAAAGTGAGCAACTTGTTTGCCACCCAGGTTTTCCATCTCTTATACTCCTTGGCGTCCTCATTGTCGCCGCTGAACATCCTCACATGCCCTCCGGCATCGGCGCTCGAAGACGCCGCACTCATGGCGCTCCGGCGCGGGTTCCTACCCGCTACCAATGACGAAACCACATGCCCAACCAAGGGCAAACGAACGGGCACCTTTTCCGCTCCTGAGCCAAGGGTCCCTGGCGATTGACCAACCTGTCAAGGCAGTGCACTCATGGCAATGTCCCAAATTGACATATATATGTATATATTGTCAATGTTTATCCCATTAATTAATGGATAGTTAGTCAAAATGAATAAGTATCACGTTAATGAATTTTAATGTGGATGTTAACAAGAACCATCATTAGTCAACATTGATTGTTTAGTGAGACATTATGGATATCAATAACCACTAAACATTAGTGGATATCCAGCCATTGGATTCGGGATCTCCATTAGGGATTCCTATTAATACTGCACTCATTACTGTAGTTATCCATTAAAAATCCATTAAATAACTGATGAACCCAAACGAGAAATGATGGAATTTATCCAGGGAGCTTAGCAGATTTAGCCAGCCAATCTTTACAAGCAAGAATCTGGGTAGAGCCTTGGAGGAATCATCAGCTTATGAGAAAACATTAAAACTTGTTTTATATATCATATATATCTAAATTTAAAGGTGCTGCAACCCTAAGTTTCTGAAGGGCCTACTAGTCGTATAGGGTTTGGACACATAAAGCCCAATGGTTGGGCAGCATTTACCAGTTTAGCGCCCAGATTGATGGACATTGTGATTATATATATAAATTGATATATATTGGATCTATCAATGCGCTCCAACAGGTATAACGGATTATATGGGCGTTGAGATCGAATCTACGCTGATGAATGATGGGAATGATCATCGGATGATATCATCGGAATTTTCTAGATCCTGTCAGGATCAGTGGAAATCTGCTGGAAATACGGGGTAAATGGACTACCCTAATGCCCTGGATTGGGTGAAATTGGGGAGGTCTCCATCCAAGAATCTCGGCTGAGGTGCAAACCTTTGAGGTGGACACCTCCCCAGAAATGGTAAAAAAAAAGGCATCATGGCTTCCTCTCAACTAGCCCTTGAAGTAAAATCCGGCGGGTGCTTCTTGATGAAGCAGCTTCACAACAAAAGCATCCTGAGGAAGAATGGAGATGTCCACGCACCTTGGCCATACCTTAGTTTCTTTCGAAGGTGTTGGCAGTTGTCATCAGTTGGAACATGGTGAAACCGAGAAGATTGAAAGGGAAGGCCCATTGCGATCTTGGAAAACATCATTTCTACTTGCATTTTGAGTAAGAGGGGCTAAGATTAGATAGGATTCGACCAGATTTGCTTAGATTACATAGTCAATAGTTTAGACTAAATTAGTTAGACACTCACACACAGACATGGCTTTGTCTGAAAATGGGGATATCCCATAAATCCATTGGTTCATTCTCATGTTTCCCATTCAAAGGCCTCAAGTTGAGGAAAAAAACCCACGGCACCCGACCAGATTCCCAGCTTCCAAAGCCGCCCAGAGCTTCAACGTCAACCGCATCTCCCTTGGGAGTCGAGGAGATTCCTTCTATGCCGCTGGGCCAAGCCGGTCATGGGGAGATTCGTTGGGATGGCGAGGACGAAAGCCGAGCCGCGAAGGGATGTATGATCTTAGTGATATGCGATTCCAATAATGGTAAGCATTACCAGTCATAAGAATGCGGTATGATTTCGAATCAAATCAAGCAGCTAAAGACTTTGATATTATGAATCTGAATAGCAATGGCGTATAGGGGAACTTTAGAGCCATCAGCATCCAACAGTTCTGAGGAATACTTGCTGAAGGACAGCCTCTTCCTGGGATCCCATGGAAATCCCATGGCGCACGCCATGTGGGTGCCCTGGCTGATTAACCAAAACCTTTGGCCTAAAATGGCAGGACTCCAATCAGTGAATGTCATCATCCCAAAATATCATTATATTTAAATTATATTTTCTTTGAGAGTTTCAGTACTCTGTATATTTCCATTCTTTTTCAAACATGGATTGGTGAAATGGACCATTTACAGGAACCCTCCACATAGACCGGAAAATCCCATGGCTTTCCGCTTGGATTTTCCCAGGCGGCCTTCCGCGCCAAGCTTCCGGGGCTGCTGGTGGAAGTGGGGCCCAGGCGGGACGTGATTCGCCCAATTGAGGCTATATCCCATTGGACATTATATTATTATTATTATTACTACTATTCTATGACTATTATTATTAATATGCTATAATGTGGTCAAAATAAAAATAATAATAATAAACCATCCCCCACCCAAAAATAATAATAATAAACCATCCCCCACCCAGTCATCACCATTTTTATAGGTGGTATGTTTATGTATGTTTACCATTCCCAAATAGCTAGTTTATGACATTGTTTTAACCACATTACCTTAATGATAATGATCATAGGCTATGAAAGAATAGGCTCAACTGATTATCAGTACATTCAAGAATCCTACGATTGATGGATGTAGGATATAGGCCATGAATATTTTTTGATAATCGGGGGGTTATACTATAGAAATCTATGATGAATATAGGGGCTATCCTATATACAGTATGTGGCTCAATTGATTTGTCCACTATGAATAGAATCAGGGGATTATACTACCTAATTGATGGGTTGATATAAAGGAATTGTACTTCTTACTTGGTTGGGGATTGTTAGAACCCATCATTGGAATATTTACTCACCAAGCAGTATAATGGGACGGGATAGAGGTATTTTTCATGGCTCAGTTGGAGGTATAATTGGAATCCCCTGGTGGTGAATAGAGGGAGCGTGCCAAGGAGCCGTGGGCATCCACATTCGCCATGTTTCCTACCAAATGGGGAGCCAAGGAGCTACTAAGAGTTTCGTAACCACATGATAGTTTACGGCATGATGCAGAAGATCTTGAAGGAACAGATGAGAAAAATGAAAGATTCACAGAAGGAACAGTCCAAACAGTTTTTTTAGCAACTGGCGTGACGACACTATAGTCACTATAGATCATACAACACCATCTTTTACTGACAGCTTTTTGAAATGAACCAATGATTACCTTGTGGTTTGGGGCCCGGTGGCTTGGCAGGGGATCATCACTGCTTGGTACAGTTGGGATTATGAGCGGGTAGAAACATGGTGATAACGTCCATAAGTTGGGATAGACTCCATCTGAAACTAATCACTACATAGAACTATGGTAGCACACACACACACATATATATATATAAGCTAATCTTATGATATCTTATGTACATATATGCACACACACATATATATAATATCTCTCTATATGTAGGTATATACATACATATCCACTTAGAAGTGGACGTGCATCCCCAAGTATGGATCATCTCCGCCTCCAGGTCCTGGCTGGATGCTCGGCCACGCACCACGGCGGCTGGACGACTGGGTGCGCCGTTTCCAGTGAAAGATGGGAAAATATGGGAACTTCCCATCATTTCCCCCCATATTTCATGGGAAAAGATGGGAAAATCCATGAACATCCGGTTCAATTTTGTCAATTTCGTTCGTAAACCAATCCATTGTACGGGGAAACTGGCATGCCATCGGCTTCCGTAAAATCAGCAACACATTAGGGCCACCAGGCTAGAGATTTGACCAGCGTCCTACCCTCCGATGCAGCCTTGGCCCAAAATTACCGAGGGCCCCAATCCCAATGCGACAAAGAAAGTGTAGCGCTCGCCAAAAGCACCGAGAAAACAGTCAGTGTCGCGCAAAGTTCAGCCGGGAAGTTTGGATCACGAACTGTCACGAACCATGCTGAACTTTTGTCAAACAATGGGCTTCATGAGGCCCAAAAAAGGTCAGATTCATTCAGATTCCATAACCTTCAATCTGAAGACAAAGGATCCGAAAAGAGACACACACCATTTTGACATCGTTCCCGGATCGTTCGATGCTGCCATGTCACAACGACTGATCCTCAGCACTTCGTCCACCGCTGCTTGGTGTTGAACTTTGACCCTCAGATGATCAGTGAACTTCAAAAAAGGTCGTGTTCCTCAGCGTTTTTTGTCGGCTGGAATTTCATTTGGTCGGGAAAATTGTACCAAAAAAAAACATCAACTGCAATCGGCAATTTTGGGCAGCTACAAACCAGCTGCTTGAACTAAAAACCAGCTGCTAAGCTGGTTCCAAGGCTGACTCTAGCAGTGCCCCTGCCACGTGGCATCGCTCAGCACCTGCCTTGGACACAGCGGGTGTTGGCAGTGGAAACCCCGGAGAGTGGAGCAGCATCACCAGGCGGACAGGGTAGCTGAGAATTTATTTAAGCACCCATGAGAACATATGACCAAACAGATGGGTATTTACCTGTGTTTTCCATTGTTTTCCTATTTTACCTCATCAAAGGTGAAACGTTTTGGGGCTGTTTCGCCCAATCGCCCAATATTTATTCATATATTCTCATGATATTCCCATATCACAAGCTTGGCTTTATATGGGGGTGTTTCCAAAAATGCGGATGCCCCAAAATTTCTGGTTTGCAGTGGAACATCCGAAAAAAACATGGATGATTTAGGGGTACCCTCCATGACTTAGGAAACCTCCATATTCCTATACTTAGATGGGCCATGGGGTTTGTTAACTGGTTAGTAAATGTTAGTAGCTGGGAATCCGATGATCTCCAGACGATCTCCCCCGCAGGTCCAGCCTGGGCCTGCTGGCTGCTGCCGTCCTCGCCACGGGCAGCCGCAGCCTCCGCGGAAAGGAACGACGACGCGCGAGCACGTCGTGCCGCCTGCGGCGCTACGCGCAAGGCACGGCCAGCGCTGCCAAGGGGATATCACTTGGGGGAAAGCTGGATTATTGCTACCATTTTGCTTGGGTTTGGCTATGTGGTTCTACCATTTAAGCTATTCTTGTATAATTATTGTGAGCTGTGTGCACACTCCGTCACACTCCGAGAGAGAGAGAGGTCCCACACGACAGGATACAACTGCCATGGCTAGTGTTAACTGGGGTTATAGCCCAGGTAAATAGCTCTTAGTGAAGTTGGTCAGGAGGAAAGCTTGCTGGCAAACGAAGATGGCACTGGAAGCCATTTGCAGCTGATTTTCCAATTTCTGAGGGCATTTCTTCCATTGCCAGATGAGTTTGATGACTATAATATACTATAATTATATAGTATAGGATGAAACTTCAAGCTTCCAAAATTAGTTCAAGGGACCATGTTTGGCTGCTGAAAATTCATGGGTTGCTTTGAATTTTGCGTTAGACGTGCTGAGAAGGAAATCCATTCTTTCAGGCGGGTCCCAACTCCCAACATTTTGCGGGCTTACATTCCCTTATGCCCTTTTCATCTATCACCCATCTATAGTCCATATGAAATCCATGTAACATCCATCTATCTATCTATCTATCTATCTATATATATATGTATATATATATATTAATATGTATATATATATATATACCGTTTATTATGCGGTATGTATACTTGTTACATGTATATAGATATAACATCCATATAAATTCCATTGAACATCCATGAAGTCACAGCTTGTGCACCAGCTGTAGGCGACGAGCAGGGCGAGGCCGGCTTGGCGCTCCGTGCGCCGTCCAACCTCTACGAGCTGCTTGGGGTGGACGACAACGCCGATTCCGAGCCTTGATTTCATTGGGAAACCATGGGGGTCTCTTAAGTCATGGGGGATCCCCAAGTCACCATAGGATTCAATACAATGCTATGGGCTAACGACTCGGATGATTTTGGGTACTTCTATTTCAGGAAACCTCCATATGCGAAACAAAACAATTCCCCATGAGTACTATAGTACTTGATGAAAACATTAGGATAAAATGGTTTCCCATCCATGGATGGGTACCTTAGTAATTTTTGAACTGATTTTCCTACAGATGGAAAATACATATATACATACATACATACATACATACATACATACATACATACATACATACATACATACATACATACATACATACATACATACATACATACATACATACATACATACATACTACATACATACATACATACATACATACATACATACATACATACATACATACATACATACATACATACATCATACATACATACATACATACATACATACATACATACATACATACATACATACATACATACATACATACATACATACATACATACATACATACATACACACACACATACACACATACACACATACACACATACACACATACAGATATACACAATATATACATATACATATACATATACATATACATATACATATACATATATACACACGCACACACACACACACGAAACAGCCAGAGATTACGACGGGCCAGGCGTTGGGGAACCTTAGGGGAGGACTTAGGGCCAAGTCTGGTAACAAGTTTTGGTGACAATCATGGGAGTATCAATATGGATGAATGGAAGCTAATAAGAACTGTTTGAATCATAAAATTCGGATACCAGGATAACCTGTGCGAAGGTGTTGTGACATTTTGATAAACAAAATGTTGTAAGGCTTTTGTGTCGTTCTGCGTGGCAGGCCCAAGGGATTGTGCACCTTGTCAAAGGTGAGCAAAACGTGAGGGTTTTGTAGCATTTCCAAAAACGATGGCAGACGCGGGGTATTTGCAGAGGATCTGGAAAGATGCATTTCGCATGGCAGGCGCTGTACAAGAGACATGTCCATCAGAGATGTTAGGAGGTCCGGGCGCTGATTTCCTGAGAGGGGTTGCATTTTGGAGCCTGAGATCTTCAGGTTTGCTGAAATGATTTTGCATGGCAGGTGCAGCACTTCGTATGAACTGGCATCACTTTTTTCGTGGCAGGCACAGTACTTTAGGCAGGCGGAGTGGAAAAATCGCAAGACGCATTGGTACGAGGCTGTCAGCTCTGCACTCAACTTTCCATTTTTGAAGGGAGTCTTGCAGAATTGCTTAGTTTTTGATGCTGCCAACTTTAAACATTGACGGAAGTCTCGCAGAATTGCTTCGTTTTTGATGTTGCCAACTTTGAAAATTACGGAAGTCTCGCAGAATTGCTTCGTTTTTTACGTTGTCAAGTTGAAACATTGAGGAAATCTCGCGCAATAGCTTCGTTTTCAAGCTTGCAGATAGATAGATAGATAGATAGACAACTACAACCACAACTGCAACTACTACTACAACTACAAATGCAAATGCATGTGCAAATATACTGTGCTACATTACGCTACACTGATTACAGTACACTACACTAATTACACTACACTGACTACGCTAATTACAGTACACTACACTAGTTACAGTGCAGCTACGACAACTACTACAAATACAGCTACGCATTCAACTACAACTACACTACATTACACTAGTTACGCTACATTACATTACACTACACTAATTACACTACACTACAGTACACTACAACTACAGCTGCAACTACAACTATGCTACATTACACAACACTACAACTACAACTACAACTGCAACTGCAACTACACCACACTACACTACACTACGCTAATTACAGTACACGACAGCACACTACAACTACAGCTGCAGCTACAACTGCAACTACAACTACGCTACATTACACAACACTACAGCTACAACTACAATTGCAGCTGCACCACACGACGCTACACTAATTACACTACACTACCCTACAACTACAACGACCGTTACAACTACAACTACGCTACTTTACACTACACAACACTAGGCTACACTACACTACACTATACTACACTACAGTACACAACACACAGTACAGTACAGTACAGTACAGTGCAGTGCAGTACAGTACAGTACAGTACACTACAGTACAGTACACTACAGTACAGTACACTACACTACACTACACGAATTACACAGCACTACAGCTACAACTACTACTACAAATACAGCTGCAACTTCAACTACAACTACACTACATTACACTACACTACACTAGTTACAGCACACTACAGTACACGACAGTACACTACAGTACGCTACAACGACGCTACAACTAGACTACGACTAGACCACACCTACACTACAGCTGCACTACAGCTACACTACAACTACAATACCGACAATACCTTACACAGCACTACAGCTAGAACTACAACTACAAGTACAAGTACAACTGCACCACTCTACACTACACCACACTACACTACACCACGCCACACTACACTACACTACAATTACAACGGCAGCTACCGCTACAACTACATTGTTTTACGCTACAGCACCCTAGACTACGCCACGCTATACTACGCCACAGCGCACAACACTACAGTACACTACGCTACATTACACTACACTAATTACACCACACCACAACTACAACTGCAACTGCCACTACAAATGCAAATGCACACACACACACTAATTACACTACACTACAACTACAGCTCCACTACACCTACGCTACAACTACAACTACGACTGCGCTACACCACACTACATCAAGCAGTTGTGGATGAGTTGACACTGCAACCATTGCAGCCACTTCAAAAACCACAACTCCCACCACCTTTCGGTCCATGAGTGGATTCGCTCTGCCATTCGTGATTCACAACAACCAACCTCTCCTATAGGTTTCCTATTTTTGAAAATTCCGCCACCGCCTTGTGCGGTACTACGGGTAAGAACTGTTTGAATCATATAATTGAGATGCCAGGATAACCTGTGCGAAGATGTTGTGACATTTTTAGCACAACATATTGTAAGGCTGAGGGCTAGTATAAAGGGCGCTTCTTGAACACCCACTATGGAGCGGGGTTATTATTGATGATTTTGGGGAAAACTGGGGAGCATTGAACTTGGCACCATTTGTTTATTCTGGTTGTTCGTCAGTTGTTCGTAAGCTGTTGTAAATGTCAGATGTCGTCGTCATCACCACAGCTCTGTTCCCACGATCTCCTGCCACCGCTGATCAGGATGAAATCAAAAAGGCCTACTACGACAAGATGAAGATCTGCCATCCTGACATCGCAGGTGATGACGGCCCCTGGGCAAAAAAACTCTGACTACGGGGTGAAGGGATGCGATTGTGGGTTTGATATGGTTTGATATGTGATACACCTGTCTTTGGGTCAGAAAATGGCGCAGCACGAACATTGGGGGTGGTTCTCTCATTTTGGCTTGGTGTCGAACGTGAACGGAGCGGATTCGGCCTGAAACTTTGTTTGACCACTCGGTAATTAAAACCTATCCGGCAGAGATCCAGGGTGCTTCGGGTCTCACCGACTTTCGGTCATTTTGTTGTGTGATCCCCGGATCCCCTGCTGTCGTGCCTGAAACCCTGGGCCCAAAGGTGAAGAAATTTGCATCCTGCTGAACGATGCCTACGACCTCCTCTCAGATCCCGAGGAGAAGGAGGAGAGGAAAAACTCGTGTCCATGGATTGAAGGTGGTTATAGGCAGATAGGTGGCTTATAAATAGAGATCGCAGGTTGGGTCACAAAACATCTCATCTTCAACTAACTTTTAGTCGGAAATCATCGCATTTTTGCACATTTCGATCCATAGCTGATCACGCGGCAGGCTTATGATATTCAGCTACACCGCGCCAACGGTACTCAGAAACCTGCCTGGGGGCCCTGGGGGCCCTGGGGCCCGAGGGAGTAGAGAAATCATTGACGTCCAACTGCCAAGTTACATCAGATGCAAGTAATTAACTAGAATGGAGTCAGCGTGTTGCCCCCCGCACTTGCAACTTTCAACAGAAATTATATAACTAAATCTAAATATGATGTACGTATGTGTATGTATGTGTATATATGTATATGTCTATGTATATGTCTATGTATATGTCTATGTATATGTCTATGTATATGTCTATGTATATGTCTATGTATATGTCTATGTATATGTCTATGTATATGTCTATGTATATGTGTAATTATGTCTATGTATATGTCTATGTATATGTCTATGTATATGTCTATGTATATGTCTATGTATATGTCTATGTATATGTCTATGTATATGTCTATGTATATGTCTATGTCTATGTATTATGTATATGTATATGTATATGTATATGTATATGTATATGAGCAACCGCAAAAACCCCGGCAATACTAAATATGTATTCGACGGACATTGGTTTATGGAAATTGATGGAAATTGTTAAAAACACGAGGTAAGCGATGGGACCTTCCCAAATTAGCGATCCCCCTTTTCAAGGTTATGTCATCATATTTCTCTAATATCCACATTAGCGATACCCAAATATCACATATTATTCATAGTTCATCACATATATATATATATATATATAAATGCAGCAGTTTCCTGCAAGCGATACCCCCCAAGTTTACCATATATCATTATTGTACAAACGTGTGGTAAGCGATGGGACCTTCCCAAATTTGTGGATGTCCTTTCCGTGAACCTAGGGTTTTCACAATCGCTCATATGTATATGTATATGTATATGTATATGTATATGTATATGTAAATGTATATGTATATGTATATGTATATGTATATGTATATGTATATGTATATATTATACATATACATATGCACGCAATTGTATGCATGTATACGCAGCATTCCTCCCATGTTCCGCCGGTCAGGTCCTGTTGCTGGATCCTTCGCCACAAGATTTGTCACCCACTTGGGCCACTGGGCCGCAAAGGTGGCGCATTTGGGCCACTGGGGAAGCCACTTCCTGTCACCAAGGACTGGACATCCAAAACTGGCAACAAGCGGTCGTGTTTTGGTGCGAACGGGGAGAATGTTGGGCTGTTGGAAGTTGCTGCCCTGGATCCAGGATCCAGGGCACAGATGTCCTTCTGGTTAGGTGATCAATAGAGTACCTACCCATTGAACAACCCCAATTGTCCTGCAAACAACATGTTTAAACACAGCGTTGGCTGTCAAGTCATCCCGGTGCAGAGGTTTGAGGCATGCTTTGTCCCCCAGCTGGCACATGGCTGATGATCCTGTTCAGCGACCGACTTCGCGACTAACTTCGTACTTCAAAAACATGGACTAATCTCAATCTCTATGGCTACAAGACACTTGGGTAAATGGGATACTCCCAGTATTTTCCAACCTTTGGGTAAGAGACTCACAGCTACTAATCTACTAACCTCACCTGCATAGCCCTGGTGCCCACGCTGAGGAAGCCCGTGTACAACGGCCGCCCGCTGTCGCGATCCCTGCATCATAAAGTGGCGCCGGAAGATCAAGGCGCTGTTGGCTAGCCGGAATACCCTTGGCAATCCTGGCATTGGAAAATCCTAGTAATCCATCCTGGTGTAAAGAAAATCACCTATTGCCTGGGTCAACCTTGCTTACATGCTTTAGTACTTTAATCTTTTGCTATCAATGGTAAAATGTACTAACCAGCTAAAAATTAGATTTTTGGCAGGTATCTAATAATCTAAAGATTCACCATGTTGTGGGGATTTGTGCTGGGTTTTCTGTTGTACTTGGATTACTGGAGGCTAACCGGCCCGATCATCGTGATGGCAACGGCCAGGAGTGAAGTGGGAGGAGCAGAAATTCGCCCGGGGCCCCAGGGGGCCCCCTGGGGCAACCGCGATGCCTTTGGTGACGGGAAGAGCCTTAGATGACTCGACGAACTCCGATGATTTGCAGCAACGCCATAGATAATACAGGTATAAGATGAAGAAAGCAAACATGGATATAGACAAGGTGATATGGATGTGTTACCTGGAGCACATTGTCAAGATCTTCCAGTGACAAGATTCTGGTCGCTGAATTCCATTTGCTAAATTTCGTTGGCTGGCTGTATTTGGCTGTGCAAGATCACTCGAGAGTTTGTCTTTGCACATGAATAAGAAGAGACTGTAATAACTTTACTATGATCGATTTTGTGAGGTTTCGCTGATTTTTTGCCCTACTAGCCAACCCCGTAGGTCTTCCAACCCTCGGGAAGCCAGGAGTTGGTATCGTAAATCTAGATGTCTGTTTCACAGGTTGTGAATGAGGTCGTGAATATCGCCTTCAGATTCTTACCCCTCTACTGATGCCATGATGTCTCAATGGGACATTTCACCACCAAGCGTTCCAACAAATTGGCATCACACTCTATCACATCCTATCATTGTTTCAACCTGGGCGACACCACGTTTTTAAAGAAACATGTTGAGGATGATCCCAACGCGCTCTCAAAATGGAAATGTTGGGGTTCCCACAACAGTTCCATGTTCTGTGACAGGTCTTTGTAGATGAGTGGACGTGCATTGCTTGCCGCAACTGCCAGCGCCTCAGAGGGCAGCTATTTTGGTGTTCACCAGTATGACTCCGGGTTTTGACCCAGTACAGTACACACTTTCGGGTTGTCTCAATTTGGAACCCCAAACATCAACAGTTTATCATCAACAAATATACATACACATCCGCATATATCCCGGAGGTTATGGGAAATTTGGCAGGACACCCAGCAAAACTATGGGGCAACCATTTTTATGTAAACACATCCAATGATAATCTCATATTCAAGAAACCCCATTGGTTGGTTAGGTATCTAGAGATCCTATATTATCCCATTATATAATGTACATGCTATATGATATTATCCCATCTGATATCCCATATATTATCCCATTATATTATCCCATTATATTATCCTATATTATATTATCAAACCAATATTCCACCCAAGGACAAGTGATATATATTATCATAGATTTATATCCCATTGTATATGGAAATAATATCTATGGGTATCAAGTATCAAACCAATCTTCCACCGGAAAAAACCTCACTTCCTGACCCAGCGGGCTCAGCGGGCCCCTGGGTCAGGCTGCGATGTGGCACCCCGCACCTTTTGCATTGATGCGGACGCCGGGCGCGCTCGCGCACCTCGGCACCGGATGGGGATAACAAACTGGGGATGGACTGAGCCCCAAGTGGGTTTGGATCAAATTTTGGAATTTGCAGATGGGCTGGTGGTTTGAATGCTATAGTTTTGTAATTTACTGTAGTACAGTACTATTGGATAGATGGATAGATGGATGGATGGATAGATAGACAAACCATCTCCCCATTTGATTTGGGTGGTGGGCTAAACACCATTGCTGAAGACTGGTGGGTCCAACGTTGCCTTTCCGTGCGCCGTGCCGCGGAGGTCTTTGCCCAATGGGGCAATAGTGAAGAGCTGCTGGACTATGCTGTGGGGACACCTTGTTGGGATGGGTGGGTTGGTTGCACGGGCTTGGTTCCCTGCGATGTTTTGTTTGTTGGTTCAGACATATGTCAGTACAATGCACTGGGTGGTTCAGACATACGAGTTTACTTGTTTTTGAATCTTAGAGCTGCAGTCAAAGACAATGGCTGGCATTGGCTGGCGCATGGTGGTGCGGAGACTCGCCACCCATTTCATTGCAGTACAAAGATCGCTGGTACAGTATCATATCATATATCATATATCACGCATCATATATCGCATATCATATATCGTGTATCATATATCATGTATCATCATATCATCATATCATCATATCATGTATCATTGTATCATTGTATCATTGTATCATTGTATCATTGTATCATTGTATCATTGTATCATTGTATCATTGTATCATGTATCGTCATATCATCATATCATCATATCATCATATTATCATATTATCATATATTCATATATTCATATCATCATATCATGTATCACCATATCACCATATCACCATATCACCATATCACCATATCATCATATCATCATATCATCATATCATCATATCATCATATCATCATATCATCATATCATCATATCATCATATCATCATATCATCATATCATCATATCATCATATCATCATATCATCATATCATCATATCATGTATCACCATATCATATCATATCATATCAACTCATATCATCATCATCATCATCATCATCATCATCATCATCATCATCATCATCATCATCATCACCACGACCACCACATCCCACGGGACCATTTCCCAATGAATCCCATGAATCCCATGGCAGGTGCAGGCGTGCCCAGTGGATTGCATCTACTGGGTCAGCCGCGACGAGCTTCAAGTCTTAGAGTACGTGACCAGGGACCGTCCCTAGCAGAAATGCTTGGGAAATGCTTGGCAATTAGATGTTGATAGATCTAGATGATCTAGCAGTTTTTTTATGGGATTGATGTGAATATAGCAGAATTAAGGGGGTTTGGACATCAACAACACAAACAAACGGGTTTTGATCAGCAACTGGGGATCTTTAACTAACAAAAAACAGACATTTGAAGGGCACACGTATTGGGATATCAGTGGTGAAAATTCCCTGGGACCCCGGCTATTGCAGATTATATAATATATATATATATTATATATATATGTATAAATATATAGATTATATATATATATATTTGGGGGGACGCAATCCCAAATAACAAGGGGTTTATCTGTAATCGGTCGATTAAACATGATTTGCCTTTCCTTTTCCGCAAAAAAAAACTAACGCCGCACGTTTCGCACCATTGTTATTCAGGACACTTACTTATTAGGCCGCCCATTAATTACCATTCAAGTGATCACCATGAACTATCATCAACCACCAATAATTAACCAATTAAACTCTGGCATTCTCTATAATGTGGGTAAAACAATAACAACCATCCCCCAAATCACCATGTTTATAGGTGCTATGTTTACCATTCCCAGTCATGGGTGGTTTATGACATTGTTTGACTCACATTAACCACTATTAACACCTATTAACCACTATTAATCATTATTAACACCTATTAACCACTACTACTACTACTACTACTACTAACCAACATTAACTGCCGGTTAACCACCATGATATGTTCCAATGGTTCCAATGGTTCCATGGCCCGAAGCCTGGCTCAGCCCAGGCATGTTCGAGACGGGCAACTCATTGCCGTGCTCCATGGCCGCCCGCCAAGGCACAGGTGGAGGCGCGCGTTGCGCCCATGACATATGGGGGGTGTCCTAAAACAGGGGTACCCCTAAATCATCCAAACTTTTATTATAGATTTTCTGGAAAATTTTATTAAAAGGATGTGCCATGACAACCATCCATTTTAAGAGGATTTGGTTAGGGAAACCTACATATTCCACATGTTTCGCGGTCACATCCCATGGTTTTCTCACTGGATCCAACCGAGCCGTGGACCTCCAGGCCTGTCCGATCCCTTCAGCATGGCATCGGACTTCCAAGCGAAGCTGGAGGAGGAAGCCGAACGCCGGCGCCGAGGTGGAGCACCGCAAGGCGCAAGGATTGGATACCCTCTGGTGATGTCAAAATAGCTATGGAAAATCACAATTTTTTATGGGAAAATCCACTATTTCTATGGTCATTTTCAATAGCTATGTTAGTCATTACCAGAGGGTACATTGGATACTGTTGGTGGGGTATCGCATCTATATGTGAACTATGGTTAACATTAATAACCACTTCTTAAATGGGGTGACCCTCCACTGGATCAAACTCTGGCAGCTGAAAGGCACCAGCGCTTCTGTCACAGAGATGCAGCAGAGGCACGGTGAGCACAGTCCTTTGATGGTGGGATCTGGAAGACACTTTTCAGGGGTGTCCCGTTGCCGCTGTACAGCGCCCCCCCAAAATATCGTGTCCACGGAGGAACACACCACCCCAGGTTTATCATCATTTACCGCTAAGTTTGTCACCTGAGATTCAGATTTTTACCATCTGCTAAATTAACATAGCCCAGAACATAGCCCATAGAAATAGTTGACTTTCCTATTGACAGTGCTGATTTCCCATAGTTGTTTCTCTGTTCACCAGAGGCTAGTGGTTATAAACCACCATTCAACCACCATTCAACCACCATTCAACCACCATTTCCCATAGTTCCCATTGTATGTTTACCAGATTTTGTTCCATGGATTTTACGAAAGATCTCTACATAACTTGGGGGCTCCCAGGATCCAGGAGCTCTTTGGCAAACTGAGCGATCGCCTGCGCACCGCTGGCTGGGGCTGAGAAAATCATGGAATCTAAATACACACACATGTACCTTTAATACATGATATTTTATAGTTATAGTTCTAGTTATAGTTCTAGGTGTAGTTCCAGTTATAGTTATAGTTCTAGTTATAGTTCTAGGTGTAGTTCCAGTTATAGTTCTAGGTGTAGTTATAGTTCTGGTTATGGTTCTAGTTCTGGTTATGGTTCTAGTTCTAGTTCTAGTTCTAGTTATGGTTTTAGTTATAGTTCTAGTTCTGGTTATAGTTCTAGGTGTAGTTATAGTTGTAGTTATAGTTCTGGTTATAGTTCTAGTTACAGTTCTAGTTCTAGATATAGTTATAGTTATAGTCATAGTTCTAGTTCTAGTTCTAGTTGCAGTTATAGTCACAGTTACAGTTACATACACATACATATACATATACACATACACATACCCACATACATACGTACATACATACATACATCCATCCATGCATACCATACCATACCAATACCAATGCCAATGCCAATGCCAATACCAATACCATACCATACATATATACATAGAATACAATTATTATACTTTTGATATTTGAATACAATTATTATACTTTTGATATTTGGGAAAATATTGGTGAAACTCAACTGGCCATTGATCATGTATGAATGGGTACTTGTATAGGTCAAAACTAAAAAGCCGTTTAACCCCCTTCAGAGTGAATGGCGGGAAACAAAGACATGACCAAATTTGTATGTTTTCAGGTTGATTGGTGCCGCAAATTTGAGCCATTCCCCATCTGGCGTTGTGCCTGCGACTCTGCAAGTGGCAGATTGATTTTTCGGGAGCGGTTTGATATGCTGCGACTGGAGGCAGCCATTGAAAATCAGACCCGCAGCGGGTATACCCAAGTGATTTAACTGTTGTGACCACTTCCTGTGAGTTTGTGGGGTGGCCACCTTGCACCATGTGGGACCCGTTCTCGACCGCATGGCGCGGATGAACTTTTTCCAAGGCGAATACTCTGCCTTCCCTGAATTTTCAGATAGAACCCTGGGCCAGCCAGACTCAAAACTGGAAGAAAACATATGTCCAACAACATCAAACCATGGCCTCGTGAAACTACCAGCACTAGCCGGGGTTTCATCCATCAAGCCACGGCTTGGTCGTGTGTGGAAATCCATAGGTTCTATTGATTGGTCCCAACGGAGCGTGCAGCCAATCAGTTGCACAACTCCGACCTTGCCATAGTCACTTTCTCTGAGCGTCGAGCAGAGCCAACTGAGAATACTGAGAGCAGCAACTGAGAAGAGCACTGGGCCTATCTTGATTTGGTTCATTGATGATGAACATTCAAGCTCTATACTCAGAAACGACTACAACACCCACTAAGACCTAATCTATAGTAGTTCAGGTTAGACATGCAACGCTGTTGCGGCCGCTGCCCAGTGCCTCTCAAATTTTAGAGGTTGTTCAAATTTACTTGACACTGGGACCTGGAAATCTTCCTCTTGTTGGCAACATGCTCATTTCTGAATATACGATATAGATACATATCCTTTTGGCGAAATGATCGCAAATCCAATCAAAACCACAACGTTTTGCATCGTTTTGCTTGGACGCTTGGGAAGTTTCCGTTGAGTTGGCATTCGAAGTCCTCTGTGGGCCTTGTTTCATCTTCACATGTGGAGACCTGATCATCGACTACAAGCGTGGCTAGTCATCCAGCTTTCATAGTCGGGTAGATTTGGTAGATAGATTAAATCAATAGAACAAGTAAGTCGTGAGTCGTATGACTTAAATTGCATCAATTGTTCATGGTATTTGAGCCCCACTTCCTGTGTCGGCAGAGGCTTCACCTGCACTGCGCCACGACAACTTCAAAAAATGATTCCTCGGCACTTTTAAGACCTTGCTTAAGCAGAGTTTCTGCAGCAATTCATGGAAGCTGACAAGACAACATAAGACAACATTGGGCTCGAATCACCTAGCAGGCGGAATTTGCTGCCAGACCCATCATATTTCACGGCCCTTTTATCACGCAAAAACATTCACACGACGGAAAGGTGGGGTCCTAGTGATCTGAAACCTGGCATTGTGGAGCTCATCTGACTTCGAGGCCCACATGAGCGAAAAGACTCGAGTTGTAATTTCGCAGGTTGACTGGGGGCCTTGAACAACTCAGAAAAGCTTGGGACCAACAGCATCCAACAGCAAAGTATTTTTGATATTATTGTCAACCTTTTTCCCTTCACCAGTCCTGGAAACTTGAAATTTTCCACTGCGGCTGGCCTTAATTCAACCCATCCACCAGGGATGTCACAGATCCCTAGCTTCGTCCTGGGCGCCGATGTGCAAAGGTCCTCAGACTTCCTCCCCTTCTCCCCCTATGAAGTCGTTCCTGTTGTTTTTTGGGAGGGCATTGTGCAGAAAATCAAGGATTCTGGGGCGCGGATGTGCGGTTGATGATCAGGAAGGGGTACATGATGTACATGATAGGTGTTTTTGAGGACATTGAGGCTCATCAGGGTCCAAATCCACCTAATGACGTTGTATATGATTTCCTTGTCACCAGACCTCACCAATTGGACCCTCAAATGAGCCCTTTGATTTGCACAATTTCCTAGTAATACTACAACAAGCCATTGGAACCATTGGAACTTGGGTGCCTCCAGGACCCTTGCGCACTAGGTCAACCCAGGTCATGGCATTCTTCCGGAACTAGTCACCGTCCCAGTGACTGGTCGTGTGAGGGTCAGGAGAACCCTGGAACTTCAGGGTCACTGACTAAAACCAATGGGTTTTTGAGACTTTGACTAGAAAAAAAAGTGTGCGGGATCGAACTGGACTGGACATAGTTATTATTATTATTATTATTATTCTTATTATTCTTATTATTAATGCGATGATAACTGCGCACACACAATATATATATATATACATACATACGCATAATATGATTACATAGATTCGATGGTTTTTCTGCTTCCTCCTACATAGTGCTGGAAAGCTGGCCTGGCCAGAGTTGCTGGACTGGTTTTTGGGTCGGCCATGGTCAACCTCCGCTGGTTGCTGTGATGGCTGGATATGACATTTTTTTTTCGTTTGAAGGCTAAAATGGGGTACCTTAAACATCCCTAAAATGATCGGCGTCTGAATTGAAGCAATCACCTTTGTTCTACCAGACTCATAAGAAAAACATGACGCCATCGGTACAGCTGCTGCTGAGAGTTCCCCCAAAGCCCCTTGGACTTTTGACCAGGTCCCATCCTCACCATGCCGCAGTGGGCCCTGGGAGGTCCCAAGGTGCAACCCAAGAAGCCGCGAAGAGCGTTAGCACCGCAGGTGCTGGAGGGATACCGGCTGGGAGATATGTTTTGGTGGCTTGATCTATTTAGTTGCTGGATCCAGGCATGGAAAAGTTTTCTACCACGAAATGATATGGGTGTGTCTGAACATGTTTGTGAAACCCAAAATGGCCGTTTGGATAGGGAACATGATGATAAGCCAACACATTGTGGGTGTCCTCCATTTTTGGGCAAACTCGTATATAGTAATATATAGTTCCAATGGACCAAGACTTTTTGGCATGGCTACCAGCGGACGTTGGCTCAAGAGCCCTTGAGGTTTGGCACAGCGGTTTACAGATGAGAGATGAAAGCAGGGAACCCACTGAAACAAGCTTGAAATCCATTTATCTCTGGGAAACACTCTGAATACCTCAAATATCAGCAACTAAGATGCATATGTATATATCTGCGTGATATCAGTGATGTCTTTTGTGATATTGGAAACCCATTCCTGGTTGTGATCAGTGCGCACTTCAATCCGGAAAGACGCGAAAAGGCAAAGAAACTACAGTTTGGTGATTTATTGCCCAAGATCCCCTGCCGAAGCTACCTAGGAGTAAATGCTGCCACAGCGTCGGGCCTCAGCAATCAATGAACCCCAAGTGAAATAGAAAAGAAATGGGGGTGGGCCCTAAAATGTCGCGCTTCTACTTGAATACCCCAAATCAAACTTTATGATTGGATCATAGTATACAGGTGGTGCCATTTAAGATAGTGATATGTTTCCCTTTCGTACGGACATCAACCAGAAAGTCGTTGGTTTTGTGATGATGGAGAAACATTACTGTACAGGGTTCGCCCTGATTGGCTTCCCGTGATTTTTACCATTTCCACCTTACACATTTGATAGCGACCACATGCATCTGTTCCATTAAATCTGGTGCACACACACATATATATACATATATATATATACATATATATATATATATACATACACATATATATACACACACATATATATATACATATATATATATATTTACTATAGACACACATATTTGGAGTAGCCAAGCCTTTGGTTGATATTTGCACTTTTTCTCTTCCATCTTGGAGCGTATTGGAGTTGTTGCTCCACCCACGGCGGAGCTTCGTGCAGCCGCACAGCATGGCCAGATCTCGGTCGAGGCGGGATCGTAACTGTTTTGTGTTTCCTCCCTTGCGCAAGTGATGACTATCATTGGTACAGCAAAATTGTGGCACTTGGGATTTACTGAGATATTTTATGACATTTTCTTTTTGTTAGATTTGTTGATTTTTGGTTGATTTGATTAATTAAAACATCCCCCAAACTTGTCTGAAGAAATCATCAAATCAACAAAAACCGTCAACATGTCATTTGTTGAAAGTTGACATTTTCCATCATTTTCCATTTTCCGCAGGTTTCTTGCCCCCCCCAACTCGTGTTTATCGACTCGGCTCGCGCCGCGGTAGGTCCCGATCGGAGCCGCGGCGGGGCGACGCTCGTGGCGCGGAGCGTCATGTGTTGCTCGGTGCAGTTCTTGCGATATGTTGACCGATGGTTAGACCATATACCCTCTGGTAAACTAACATAGCTATTGAAAATGACAATTTATAGTGGATTTTCCCATTAAAAATTGTGATTTTCAATAGCTATGTTAAATTACCAGAGGGTATAGATGCCTATAGATTACCATTCAAAAACAATGGCTCATGACATAAAAACTATAGAAAAAACGATATGATTTATATGTTTCATGTTTCATGGATGCTTTTAGGACACTGACACGAATGTTCGGGTATGAGAAGTGTATCAAGTCAAGGTTCAAGGACTGTATTTGATAAACACGAGATGACACACAAGATCATGGAAGATCATGGAAGTTGTTGAAATCCAAGAAAACCAAATCCAACCGGTACCAAAGCGGTTGTTCCTGCAGCACCAACTATGCCCACTTAAATAGCCGTTGAGCCCGGCTCAGGATACATGTGCAGTCCGAAATGGCAGGCGGGATTCCCAACCATGTTGGATCCCCAAGGGCGTTATTTGCGCCATGTTCCGGTCGGCAATTGTGACCGGGACCCCATCTTTGATTTCATGGGCTCGCCATTCGCAAATTGATTGATTAGCAATTGGGTCAGGTCTAGGTTGGAAAATCTTCGAAAGAGCAGCTGGTGTTTCACAGAAACCAGGACTTTGAACCTGAAAACCCTCGCAAAAGTATTAAGATCACTAGCTGGTCAATGGATGTGAACGCTTCAACTATGGTAGTATCATTCCGAGAAGTAGCTCAAGGATGTTTAAGGGAACATATACGGACTACCTGTTAGTTTTTGGGTGTAATTAGTGTTCAAGGGTTTTGAACACTCGTCACTCATTCCTAACACCTGATCCTGAATGGCGCAATCTTCCCTTGCCCTCAGGGCAGTTTCGGAAGGCTTACTTTGAAACACTGTCTCGGGAAAAAAAACCACACCCAGCTACAATAAGATCGACATAGATCGACTAGGATTTATAACCCATCAGAAATTCTTTGGTGTACCCGTGTACCCATCAAAACAGGTTGTGCCACCAGCTATCTGGTCAGTGAACATTTTATCAATACATATGGGTATGAGTATGGGACAAAACTCTAGTACCGTGATGAACAAAATGGGTGGTCAATGGATGTTAATCTTCTCATAGTCCAATTTGTATTGACCCATGACCATATTGAACTTTGGGTAAAAGGCTTCATTTCACGAAAGTATATAAATTATGACATGCCTGCACCATCAGGGTCATCTAAGCTCCTTCCAGGGAAATTATACAAGAAGCACCATGCATCAATTCTCATGGTGAACTTAGCCATAGTAAAAAAACATGGGAAGCCTATCATGCCACCAGGGTTGGAAGCTCCAGCCGCTCGTCTTCCAGGCGTCCTCATCGGCAAGGGCGGCGATACCATCAACACGCTCTGCCGCGACAGCGGCGCCAGCATCAACGTGTCCCGGGATGAGGCGCAAGGAAACGACGCCCGGCAGTGATGGCGCGGGAATTTTCTCCGGTTGTGGAACACATATCAAACATGGATGTATATATATATATCTATATATGTACACATAATATTTGATGTTTGATGGGAAAATGGCGAAGACAAACATCAAAATATAATTGAATAGCTCCTTAGAACCCGTGATTTAGTATTGGATTTAATCATTCGTCTTTGCGCACTTTGGGGTTCCATATGAGTTTATTTGAGAATTGATGATACGGGGAAAGAGTTAATCATGATGAACTTTGAGGAGCAAAACACGGGCAAAGCACAAAACATTTAGATTTTGCTGCTACACGGCAAAAGCATGGAGTTTGGTCAGAAAAGTCATTTCGAACCCAACCATGAACGGTGATTCTGTTACAGATTCTGTTGGTAAAAACCTATGCATGATCGAAAACATCGAACACCCACAGTTATCTTCAATCATTTCTCAAAATCTATATAATCTATCAATGCATCGCGTTTCGAAAGGTCAGGATGCTTGAACAAAGATGTTGAAACTTGTCACCGGACATCCAGATCATCTCGTTTCATTTGAGCCAAAGCGATAGCCTTGGGGCATCTTGGGGCCATGGGATGGACAGATGGGGTCATATCGATGGATAAACCATTTTCACACATGGCTTTGTCAAAAACAAAAGTGCCTAACAGTTTCTCCGCATAACTTGCTGTCAACTGGCTATTCCAACATTTCGTTTCTGGACTAGTGCGTCAAAAGGTTGGTATTGCTGGGTGGACGTTCCAGTCACTGTTTCGCTTTCCAGTCACTAAGTGGGTTAGAAAAAAATAACCCTGTTGTTAATCTATATATAAATTACGACCCACACCAACACACAGAAACACACGTATACCCTATACATAAAAATGTATATATACATACGCACAAACACACACATACATACATGCATGCATACATAAATCAATAAATACATACATAGGTAAATAGATAAATAAATAAATACATAAATAAATAAATGAACGAATAAATAAACAAATACATAAATTATAAAAACATGAATGCACACACACATATATATATATTATAATATACATATGCATATATATATATATTTACGCATACACATTCACATACATATATACAATTATATCTATGAAATGTCCCAGTCATATGTGTTTTGTGATTTTTTGTGTTTTTGAGGGGGGTGGTTTCAAGCGAAGATGCACAGATCTACAGGGAAAATCAATCTATTGAAGGTGCCAGTGTTGATGGTTGAAACTGTGTTTCACCATGTGAAATCCACATTTGTCATGGTTAAGTCACTATTTTAGTGGCTCGTTATGAACCACTTCATAACACTTCTCCTCTGGTCACACATGGCTGGAAAATCCCACCGTGCTGAGGAGCGCGCGGTGACTATCCGTGGCACTAAAGAGGCGATCGACAAGGCGGTGAAAGGAATTGAGGAGATCATTGAGAGCCGCGGCCGCTGAAGGTAACAGGTAAAACTCACCACACTTTTTTCCCCCCTCTGGTTAATACCAATACAAGTGTATATATATACATACACATGTAAACCATTTTTTTTAAATATATATATATACATATGTGTGTGTGTGTGTACCTATCATTACTTATCTATATGTTAATCTCTAGCTCTACGATAAGCACCTCAACGATACGTGGATTAGGATGTGGCGAAAGTAACATGGGTTTTAGTGACAAACAGCACGAAATAGTAATTATAATAAGCTGCCCAACTATATCGGATATTTTGTCAAGCATATGTATTTACATAACATACATACATGCCTGCCTGCATGCATGCATGCGTGCATGCATAGATAGATAGATGGATAGATAGATAGATAGATAGATAGATAGATGGATTAGATTAGATTAGATTAGATTTGATTTGATTAGATACTGTAGATCGATTGATCCATTGAGTATTAGATTAGATTAGATGATTAGATGATTAGATTAGATTAGATTAGAAAGATCAGATGATATTACATCAATTAGATTAGATTAGATAAATTAGATTAGATAGATTAGATAGATTAGATTAGATTAGATTAGATTAGAAAGATTAGATTAGAAAGATTAGATTAGATACATTAGATTAGATAGTTTAGATTAGATTAGATAGTTTAGGTTAGACTAGATAGATTAGATTAGATAGATTAGATAGATTAGATTAGATTAGAAAGATAGATTAGATTAGAAAGATTAGATTAGATAGATTAGATTAGATCAGATTAGATTAGATTAGATAGATAGATTAGATTAGAACGATTAGATTAGATTAGATTAGATAGTTTAGATTAGATAGATAGACTAGATTAGATAGATTAGATAGTTTAGATTAGATAGATAGATTAGATAGATTAGATTAGATTAGATAGATAGATTAGATTAGAAAGATTAGATTAGAAAGATTAGATTAGATAGATTAGATTAGATAGTTTAGATTAGATTAGATTAGATTAGATAGATTAGATTAGAAAGATTAGATTAGACTAGATAGATTAGATTAGATTAGATTAGATTAGATTAGATAGATGGATTAGATTAGAAAGATTAGATTAGACTAGATAGATTAGATTAGATTAGATTAGATTAGATAGATAGATTAGACTAGAAAGATTAGATTAGACTAGATAGATTAGATTAGATTAGATTAGATTAGATTAGATTAGATAGATAGATTAGATTAGAAAGATTAGATTAGACTAGATAGATTAGATTAGATTAGATTAGATTAGATAGATAGATTAGATTAGAAAGATTAGATTAGACCCTAGATAGATTAGATTAGATTAGATTAGATTAGATAGATTAGACTAGATAGATAGACCCCCCGATGGATGACCATCAAATAATGTGGACCATGATGTCTGACACCATACAATGGAGCCCCCCTTTCTCAGCCCTTTTTTTATTCGTCACTTAGGCGCGAGAAAGGCCGGAGCCGGCGTGAGGAAAAATTCGAGGAACGTGAGGAAAGCGATGAGGACAGGGATGAGGCCAAGAAGGTCATGTATGTCTCTGGTACCTTTGTGGGTGCCGTGGCCGCGGTGATGAGGCAGTTGGCAGTCCGAACGCCCAAGCGATCGGACCGTCCGGAGATGTGGGGTTCAGAGGGGGAGGTCGAACTATGTGGGACCCATTGGGACCCATTGGGACCCATTGGTACCCAGATACTGTAGATAAGGGATGCATTTCTCACAGGGCCGGTCATTTCATTCTTTTGAAACAATTTCTATGATCTACCAGTCTATCATAATGCCCATCCAAACTTATCCCTTTTTATTGTTGGTTGGGATTGATCTCACCCAAAATGCGTGGGTGACTTGAAACCTGCCCGGTGCGATTGAGGCATGATCATTGGGAGAGGTGGCGAGAGCATCAAGGTGCCACTGCTTGGGACGTCACCGAAAGACTGCAAGCCCCCGAAGTCCCTGTAGGATCTGTAGGAATTATGGGTTCGTAGTGATCCCAAAAGACTAAGCACTGTGGCACAATGATAATACTTCAATACACAATAGAAGAGTAAATCAGGATCGAAATAAATAGTGAGAACGGTTTGTCTGTAGTTTTTGGGCGCCTGTATGCGAAGGAAAAAAACCATGCAATCAACTCTCAAAGCTGAAGAATTCTGGGAAAGTTTCTGACCTTCAAGTCATCAAATGCGTCGTAAACCACGAACGATGCTGTGGAGTGCCAAGAACAGTTGACTTTATCAGGGGTGGAAAATAACCCATCAGAAGGACACCCCAGTTCAATGTTAGTTGCCCATCCCAAATATCACATGTTATTTCTTTTTGACACGATGCGTTCCGAACAACGAGCTGAACTCCGTAGCAAGGACTAGTCATCTTCCAAGGCTGGTTTGTTTTTGGGCGGGGAATACCCGGAATACACATATCGACACGGGTCAAACTTGAACATCCACCCAACAATGAAAGCTTCAAATCCATTGAAGTCCACGCTTTGATGATAACATCACCATAGAGTCCGGCAAAATCAATCAAAATCATCCATTCACCATTATTTTCCGAAAATTTGTAGGTCAAATCCATTTTTTTATCACATATTAGATAAAATCCATATAAATCAACTCAAATCCCCAGTAGAATCCCATATTTTTTGATATTTTTTTGGGACGATCATGGATGATCAACCCCCAGGCCATGTCCCGCGAGAGCGGCGCGCGCATCGAAGTGTCCAAGGATGACCTGGGAGATCGCGATGCGGCGCGGGGCCCTGGCACCATGGGAAGCCACATGGAGTCAACGGGTCTACCGTGGGTCATTACATCCTTGTGACATGTCTTCCTATTTTGTGACATTGTGCTATAAATAGGAAGAAGTACTAAATAGGAAGGTCTACTAACCAGCTAAGAAGTTCATCCGAGATGACCTTCTTTTGACAGGGTGTCGAAGATGAATCATTATTTTGCAAGAAGAATGCTTTGAAATGAGAATTTTCAGCAACTGGCTTTCTGGAGTTTCCGACATTGACACCTCTTAAGCAGGGTGTGGGAAGGAGACTTTCCCGAAATGCCGAGCTTCAAGCTGTTGAGTATCGTTGTAGAAAACCATGTGTGGCTGATGGATTCCCCCATGATTTCTGGGCCATCTAAAATTGCGGATATAGGTCCCTTGGTGAATGGTACATTGGTGGTTTTGTGCCATGATGGAATGTGCGAAGGTACCAAGAAAGGACCAAGAAACAATGCAAAGGGATGAACAGGGTATTAAAAAAACTACCTGAGGTGGGCCATGCTCATTCACCCATCGGTCATCCGGATATGTAACACACATTGTATGATATCTATGTGCCAACTTCGGATGACTCACATACAGCTTGCCGGGTTGGTGAAGGACCGCACCGTGACCATCCTGGGAACACAGGACGCTGTGCCTTGGTAGGCAGATATGGAAAGTGCTGGGACTTTTTCCGCCAGCTGTTTTCTGTGAATCGGAGATCAGGTTCTAACAGCAGGGTAGAATGATAGAACACCAGGCGTTCTACCTTTTTCTACGGGATTTCACCAGTTGCTGTTACAAGCCATTGGTACTTCCCCCCCGAAAACTAAATCTGCAGGTGGTCATTTGACACGCAAGGGTCAAGCGTTCACAGCTCTAGGCTCGTAGATATTGCGAGTTTAAGACAGGGGTTGGCAAATGGAGAGCACCTCGCTTCAGATGGTTGCTTGATATTGTTGGAGACTGAGATAGTGCGCTCAAGAACCAGCTTCGTGTGATCTATTTTCTACTTACTTGCAGATGAGACACGGATAAGCCTGGATGATGTTTCAATGTGACATGGATCAAAAGATCTCGACAATTTGTTGGGAGAATCATCCCCATCCTTGTGAAGTACCTTGAACATTTGTCCAGTGCTTATGGATACATAAACCTTCGTTCCGCCGGGTCTCCGGGAGATTGACTCCTCTCTCAGCCTAGATCGATCAACAACTACCAGTATAGTTAGTTATGCAATTTCCTTGATATTTATATGGGCCATCTTCCCATTTTTGGGTTCAACATCCATTGAGTAGCTACTGGTACCCCACTTCTTAGATCATCTAAGCCATCCCTCAAAATTCTGCCCACTTCTTAAATTCACACACACGCACACGCACGCACACACACACATAATATATATATATGTACAAAATACTACAAATCAACCCATTACAATCTTTATCAAATTTGAGAGTGCCCTCCTGTAAACTAACATCGATACATAGATGTGGAGAATCCACTATTTGTAGATCACTGTCCCAGTGAAGCCATGGGTTGTCTACATAAATTAGTTTACTGCACCCCAGGGTACCCCTTTTTTCACAAACCCATTCAATGTGGTAAACCAACATTAGCTATGAAACATCACCATGTTAAACATAGGTAAATGATCGAGCTACATGGGCCTGACGAACTACTGGCTTATAACTTGTAGCCCTTATAAATGGGTGGCATTATGGGCTCTACCCCGCTATTAACCAGTTCACTAACTCCATTCATTGGGTTAGCGTATGCCCTCGGGTAATAAAACATGGCAATGCATTATCCTCCCCACCTTATAGAGCATTTCCCAGCTAGCCGGGCTTCATTACCAGAGGATAAATTAGGCATAGAACCCAGCATTTTCGATCACCATTGATTACTGAACATTATAAGTTTTAAGTACTATGTATTGCATCATCCCTATTCTGGTCTTGTTGGTAGATATCCCCATTCTAAACCCAATTGGAAACTACAGTATTCATACTGACCAAGAAGAATAATGCAACTATACTTACGCCGATTAGGAACACAATTTTTTCATATAACCCTACTACAATCATAAACCACTATGATATATATATATATAAATATTTCTTTTTAATGATCATAATATGGGTATGGATCAATACCTATTAATACCATTTTTAGGGGGATGAACATCCATTTACCAGCTATTTTGATGTTCACCAGGGGTACAAGGTTTTGACACACTGCCATATATCCCAGCCCTCAGGTGGACAAGGCCAGTCGCATGATCGAAGACATCGTCTCGCGTTCCGAGGAGGAGCCGTCGCCTGGAGCCTGGAAGGCTAAGGGCCTGGCCACAAGTCGGTTGTGAGGTCATGGAGCCTATATAATATACACACACACACATATATATATATATATTATATATATATACATGGCCAGTTTCATGGATTTATCTGATTTATCTGGAAGTTATGTATGTTATGTGGGATAAATCGTGAGATTTTCCAGGGGATAAATCGTGGGATAAAAATGTGGAGCTCTATGGGATTTTTCATGACCATTTAAGGGGGATTAAGAGCTGGGATTTTGCTGGGGCTCTTTTTTGGTGATGGTAATCTTAGGATTGAATGGATTTTTTTGGTAATTTTATTTCGTTTTATGGGATTTCACTGGATTCAAGTTCTGGATTCTGCAGATTAATAGGGAAAATCAATGAACGCGATGCCTTTGTCTATGGAATTTGGAGATACAGCACTTTCAGACACACCTACATTGATTGTTAGTTTCTCCACTCTGACCTCTTTGGCAACACAAGTTGGTGGGTGAGCCATCCGTTTTCAGTTCGATTTCCCAATATCAACCACTGGACCCACAAGCACACCACAAAAGCCAAAACAGCAATCTTTAGAGTTGGAGATGGGGCCCCCAAGAAAGCGTTCAGTTGCCTTATAAGTGGCTCAACTATGGACACTATGGTAGATATAACGAACTAGTTTTTTTTTTTCTCCTCATAAGGGTTATAATATGTTATAATGGTTTATAAACCAACACTTATAGCTGGCCCCCCCCCATCCTGCATCCACCAAGGGATGCCATGGGTTGAACCCCGAGCAGACCCCGAGTCGTCCGAGGCATTTCGGCCCGGCGCCCCGGCCGCGCACGGTGGAGGCTCCGCCGGGATTTGAGGAATGCGAACAGGAGGAGTGGCTCTACAACCCGTCCACGAAGGCCTGGATGGCCATGGATGGCCACCATGGGGCGCGTACTTCGGAGATTTTCTGGAAGTTTTGGGGGAAAAAAGGCAGGGAAGATTGTAGAGCCACTGAAGTCAGAGTCAGTGTTTAACGGGACCCAGGCACTGAGAGCCATGACTTTCTACAGCGGAGGAAAAACGAATCAATGAACCTGTCACTTGAATGACAACCAGAGTTTTACATCCAGTACTATTATACTTCATGCAAGTTAAGTCACCCAAAGCTCCATCGCACTGCGGCGCATTTTAAAACTTTTTTCAAAAAGAGGTTTTCTTTTTTTCTGCTCCTTCGTTGGCCAAAAACACCTATAGCCGAATCAGCACCAGCCGCCTTCATCCGCCTTCTACCTGACAGGAGTATTTCAGCAAAAAGTCTGGTGCATTGGCATGGCTCAACGACAGCGGCATTTTTTGCCCCATCAGCTGCCTGGCAGCTCCCAGTCATGGGACATTGGGTCCCAGATGGGCAAGCTGGGAAGTGCATTGGCCATGTAGATCACACCTTCACCATCTAAACTCATCTAAATTCGTCACCAAAAGGAGCAACCCCAGCATCACGCCCAAACCAATGCATTGGGTTCCTCTGCCAGTGATTGAATTCTGAATGACTCCCACTCGTCGATGGCCGTGGTTAGGAAGTTAGGAAGTCCCTGATTTCTGGGTTTGGTTCCATTAACAACTGGATCGGCTCCCTACCATTTTGTCAGTTCAGAAGTTCACTCCCCAAGTTTGGTGGTTTGAGAGATGTTTCTACTTCCAGTTTTTCGGGATTCTTGTTGAAGTTGATGAAATATTCGAACATTATTTGGGTTCGTCTCAAATTCTGGAATACTCCACTCCAACATGGCAATTTGAATCGGGAACATGATTTTTTACACCATGGAATTTTTGAATTACACATTTTGCAACACCATATCCTAGATTATCAGATTATCCCAACATGGAGTTCAAAACATGCATCAACTTTCACCTAAAATTCCACCGAGAGAAATTCTTCAAGTTTGAGATGTCACACTTGGTGGAGGTGTCCTAAAATGGTGATCCTCCATTATTAGAAAATTTAGGATCACCATTTGGTTTATTTAGGTGGTTTCAAAACCATTATCCTAAAAATCATCCAAATTAGACCATATTTTCGTAGCAAAAAAAACTCCCACTCGTGGTGTCATTGACTTGAACCCTTGACTTAACCTCCATTATGATGGCTTTGGAGGCCTCCCATCCCATCCATTATGATATGATTTGATATAATCTTATATATATACAGTACATATATATATAATGTATAGATATATAGATATTATATATAATATATATATAATGTATAGATATATAGATATATAGATATATGTAATTATATATATATACATATTAGATATCCAAGGAGAAGGCGTGAAGCACAGTGATCTTCAGCCAGTGACCGCTGGCACCGCTGTGCTCTCCGCCGCCAACGGCGGCGCGGTGCCGAAGACGGTGGTGATCCCGGACCTGCACCGAGTGGCGATGGTGGGGAGGGGGTGAAAAAGTGGTGGAAAGGACTGGTGGTGGTTATTTGCCTGGTCACATCTCTATATATATATATCTATATATCTCTATATATCTCTATATATCTATATATCTCTAACTATCTATATCTAATATTTATATCTATATCTAAGATTTATATCTATATCTAAGATTTATATCTATATCTATGTCTACGTCTATGTCTATGTCTACGTCTATGTCTATATCTATTGTATATATATATATCCATCTCTATATCTATAACTATATCTATATCATTGTCATTATCATTATCATATATCCATATCTTTAATAATTATACATATCTACATCTCTATCTCTATTTTTATCTTTATCTATCCCTGTCCATATCTATGTATCGATCTATTTTATCATTCATGTTTATACATGTTCATGTGATTCTACTCAATTACACACACATATATATATGATATATATATAAATACTCACATGCATGTAGATTATGGTATAAGCTTCATTTCATTAAAAAACATCTTCCCCCCCTCTGCCATGTGTCACCAGGCCCTGAAGCTTCCCTTGGACCACGTGGATTCGCCCTGCGCCATGCTGGCCGTCTTCGGCGGCTCGGAGCCGCAGCCGGCGGCCATGAATTTCCATGAGAAACTGCTGCGGAGGAGCCATGGGTCCCATGGGTAGCTGGAAATCATGGCGAAAGCCATGGCGATGGCGAAATTTATTTAATGGTTAATAGATGTTCATAGTGTATTTTTTTTAAAATATGGGTAAATAAAATTAAATAATAAATAAATAAATAAATAAATATATATATATATAAATATAATATATCATATATATATATATAAAATGGTGAATGGTTATAATTAAGAATGGTTAAGAGATGTTAATAGTGAATAATGCTGAGCCATGGGGCTCCCAAGTTATCCCAAGATCTGATAAGATCGGCTTCAGAGTACCCGGTATGGAAAGTTGTTACATGGTATAGATGGCCCATTTAGTTCCGTGATTTACCCAATAACCATGGTGATTTGAAAAATAGCTTTGTTGAACTACCAGATGGTAGAGGGCAACCTCCAAGATACGACAAGATAAGAATAGTAGATTATGTTAAATTCCTCCTGAACTAATGATACATGCCGAATTGACCGAATTGTTGTTTTATCTTTTTGATTCTTTTTTGGGGGCTACTAATTATATCCAAAAATATGTACATGATATGTGTTTGACTCTGCGCTGACCCATTAACGAAGGCACAGGAGATTTCCAGCGACAAATCTACAAATGGCATCCCCCAGGAAGCAGTGTTGAACTCTGTAAGAGAAAGCAGTGGGGAACTGGGGTTTCACTGTATTTGTTCCCAGTTGAGCTTATATAAATTGGACTACTGTAGATTCTACACTGTAGGGTGGACATGAATCAGTCAAAACGCGTTTTTTTTTAATAGCCACAATATTTGGCTGGTAGGGTTCGTGTATAGATGATCATACATGATTCGAAAGACGCAAAGTACTGGATTGTAGTTTCTTCATATCTTCATGAAATAGGTTTACCAAAAAGGACATACCACCAGCGACGTCCCATGATAGCAGAGGTTACAACCCAACACATGTGTTTGTCCAGAAGTTGGGGGGTGGGTAATGTGAGATATGGTCATGAAGGAGTTGATTTTCTAAATCAATGGATTTCGGGACAACTCCCCAGGCGTGTGTTTTCATGGTTTCAGCGACCGAAGTGATTTGAGGGAAACTCACCATGAAAACAAGCTCTTTCCTCACCCCCGAATTCTTTTTCGGGTCTTGCAGGTTTTCAAAGATAATATCTGGGTGTTAGTTAGGCACTGTATTATGTATTACCATGTATTACCTTAGGTGGCTAGCAACTGGCCTATATCTCCTGGTAACTTTTCTTGATGCAGCTGGTGAAACCCCAATGGGCAAGGATTTCGTCCTGGCGCAGTGTTTGGATGGAGCAGGCATGGCTGGTGGCAATGAATGCCGCTATGATGGACCTCGCGGGCTCAGGCTGGGTGGAACTCATCCCCAATCCCCACTTGGATCCACTTGGAGGATCATCCCGCTTGCCAACTGGTTAAAAGCCCTGGTTAGTAAGTCCCCCTAGGTGGGTTTTTTCGAAGGTTTTTCCACGGTTTTTTCCATTTATTACATGGATTTAGACCAGTTCCCTAACCACTTCAACCAGTTGCTAAGTTGGGTGATCCTCCAACCCCATCCCTGGAGGCCCACTACCGGTGATGGCTGCTGCCCTGCAGATGGGCCCCCGCCTCGTCTGCGTTGCCTCGCCGGGCGCTCACCTGGCGCTCAGCGGCGCGCCGCCGCCACTGGTGACGGAGGGCGGCAGTGGCGCCTTCGCGCTGCTGCAACGGGGCGAGACGGACAGAGGGGGAAGGGACGAAGTGGGACGAAGTGGGACGAAGTGGGACAAAGTGGGACGCATGGGTGGTGTTTTGGTTCTTTGATCTTCCTTGTTTGTTTGGTTATTTGATGTTATTTGTGTATTACTTGAAGCTTACTGATCTTGCTGTAGCCATTTTTATTTGGACACGTTCATACTTTTTTCATTTTTTACACCCCCACAAAATATATAACTCTTAAGAAGAACCCAAACATAGAATTATAGAGTACGGCTTTGCACACATGTAAATGTGGCTGACATGGAAATACGGAGGAAACAATCATAATAAGTGTAGAAAAGCTGCGACAGGATTTTCGGACCATCATTTGCAGCTTTTTCTTCTCCCTCACATTTTGGGTGAGGCGTGAGTTATGGAAAGGCAAAAGCCGGGGGACAAACTATACTTTTGTGGTCCTTTTCCCTATCATTCACCATAATCATCGACTTGCAACTTGGATTGTCCCACACACACACACAGGCCCATAATATTTCCAACAAGAACAGTCATTTTAGCCAACAAAAATGGGGGGCTAGATGCAAACACATTGTGATATCAAACAACAACAGATGGGCATGGATCTCGCATCCATAAAGTGGTGCAAGACCTCGAACACATGCAATCCCTGCAAATCCATTTGGAAGACCGTTTTTGAAATTATATATATATATGTCAATAAATATCCATTAGTTATATTAGATTATATTAGTATTATATAGTATATATGTGTATCCAGCCCATTTGTTTTCCCCATGTTCCATCAATGAAATCCAAGCCGTGCCTTGAGGAGACTCCGCCGCCGGTTTTGGTTGCGCTGGTCACGGGGTGCAAAGCTGCGAGCCTCACCGCAGACACGAGCCGGCCACTTGGAGCTAAGGGGCTACCTGTCTGGGTCAACCGTTGGATGGGTCGTTTAGTGTTAGTAAAGCAATGTCACTTAAACCAGCCAAATATGGATTGATGCTATTTTATGGTTGATGCACATAGAGTTGGTGATGGTTTTACTATTGATTTACTGACATTTTTTAAATTTTTTAACCATAAGTGGGAATATCTACCAACCGGCTATTGGTTGGCACGGCATCCAAACTTGGGCATGTTATGAAATGCCACCCCTATGAAGACATGTGTAGATCCAGTGCAAAACGGGGGTCCAGGGGTGTATTTTGTATTGGGCTGAAGGGCTTCAGAAGCAATATATAACTCAATGGTTGGCGACCGGTCCTCAGCAAGCCTCGGCGAGCAAACCCATGAATTTTGGGTGCCAATCTGGGTAAAGTCGGGTTTGTTCGGTCTTCGTATGGCTGTCAATGCTAAGATATACATAAATGGGGACATAACATGCCCAGCTCTATTAACAAAATTAATTTTCCTTTGCGTGGTATGGATCTAAGATTCGCCATCAATCACGTAATCAAGGGCAAGCTCCTCCCTTGAAATTTGCGGTGGAGGCTGTTTGCATACACTTTGCGCAGCTGTAGAGGTTGAGACAGGTTTCACCTTCACCGTATTCAACACCCAGAATCACCAGAGGGCGACCCGATTTTGAAACCAACTGACACATGGCATTTGACGTACATACATAGTGTATATATATATATATGTATGCGTATGTATAAATGTATTAAAAAAAACATATACTCCGTATATAATATACATAACACATACATACATACTAAACATTATAATTTGACTTCTACCGAGGTCCTTGCTGGAAGGCCGCCCCCGTGCCGCGGCCCTGCACCTTGCGAAATCTCTCCGGGAGGCGGCCCATGGGGCCATGGGGCCGCCATGGGTAGCTATGGCTTTTCCGTTGGGAAGTTGGCCGCAGAATTGATGGTCATTTTGGGGGAAGTTCCCCCAAAATTGCAGATGATTTTGCAGATTTTTTCTGGGAATAATTGAGGTATAACCCGCCAAAGTGGGGGGACAAAACCAACCATAGTAAGAATGTAATGGGATATGAATGGAAAAGACATTGACATACATTGACATTCTATATCATTCTATCCCCAAGAGCTGCGTGATGTTTAACCCCCCTACATGTTTTTTTTTTGGTGGTATGCCCTGGTGGGCTTGTGGCACCCCAGACCCCAAGACGTCAGCGAGGCGGGTGAGACTGGACACTTGGCCACGGCATGCGCTCGCTTGAGCTTCGTGGAGGAGGCGGTGAGCGTCGCGGCGATGGGTGTTTTGTTTTTTTTTGTGTGTGGGGCCCCTGCATTGCCCTTGGCCTCCATGGGTATATGTATATATAATTATATATATATAATATATAATATAATCATATTACATGTCTATGTTTGTATAGTTGTAGGTATAGTTGCCGCCGTCACCTTCGTAAGATCTTGATTAGATCTTGTACGACCCCTGTTCAGTGGTAGAGAACCCCATATTGCCCGATAGCCTTAGGGATGCTTGGCGGATTTCTTTTTCAGGTGCCGGCAGTGGTCAGTTTGGGTGTGGTTTTTATCATTTTCATGTGTCATGGCAGAACCCCTTACTGGAGAAGAAGGTCGCTGAGAAGAAACCGAAACTTGCAGCTTGGCAGAATTTTACCTGGGGAAGAGAGCACTGGATCTCTGTTGAATGACAGTTTGATTGGACATCATAGATTCTTATCCATTAGGAAAAAAATCCTTCACCATAATAATAGTATATCATAGTTGTGTATTTATCCATATTTGTTTAGCATGCAGACGGGGAGGTAGACTAGATTGGAGGAGCGGACAGGATTGAATTGAATTATACAGAGAGGAATAGAATAGACTATAATATAATTATATCCCTATATATCGAATGATACAATTATCCCTATTGAATGAAATGGGATATGATATAATAGGCCAGGACTCCTAAGACATGCTAGGACGGTCTATCCAGGTAGATAGACCGTTGATGACTGCATATACTGTAGCTAGATTCTGATTCTTAGATGGAGAGGCGCATATCTACCAACGGCGTGGCCAAACCAGAGGATTGTGGAGCTACTTGTACGAGAATCACCTCCTCCAAATTATGTGCATTCCAGTTGGTAAGCCTTGGTATGTGAACCTTACGCTTACAACATGCTAAAAAAACACGGAGCAAATTCCAGAAACCATGGGGATTTAGGAACTAATGATTAACTATGGTTCTAGAACTGTGACCTTGCAAGATTTTTCCAACATGACAGAAACCCAAGTCATGGGGCATCCCGGCTATCGTTCCAGGAGGAGAAACTGAACAAGGTCCGCGTGCGTCAGATCCTGATCCGTTTCTGGTCCGGTCTCTTGGCACAACTTGGCAACTGGGAGGCTGGGACAGCACGGAGGGTGATGGATGGCTTACCCGGTTACCCTGGGTAAACATACCAAAAGATGTGGAAAAACCCACAATTTCCCAAGGAACATGATCCAAACAACTGATAAACAGGAGGGTAACTATTTGGTGAACTGGGGTTATATTGATTGTAGTTACTCTAATTGCGGTTAATGGTGGTTTCATTGTGGTTATACATGATGAAAGAAATGAGGAATGTAGTGCCACCTGCATTCTTTTGGACATTCTTGTTCAAGGGTATTCATCCGATTGACGAACATGGTTCCAGGCGGCAAATTGACCCATCCCCATATCATCCACTTTTTTCGTTCTTGGTGTTCCAGATCCCCAGAGAGTATGAACCAAAACACTGTACTGATGGAGATGTTGATTGAAGTTAGGATTGATGCTTAGTGGCTTCGTGCCTATGCAACTGGGGTTTATCTCTTGACATCTCCCACTTCCAAGGGGCAGTTTCTTACCTTCCCCCTGGAGGGAAACAGTACCGGAACTCCCAAAACATTTGGGTGGTTAAACAATGTTAAACAGTTAAGCACCCTCATTTCCTAAGATTTTCCTTGCGTCGTTAAAAAAGCGGCGATTGGTTTGTGGGGCACCTGTTCCTGTCAGATCTTCCTCAAATCAATCCAGAACCAGAAACCTCCAAAAACAATGGCTTTCTAAGAAAATGGCTACATTACATCCATTTTTGGGATGACCGAGGCAAGGGGCCGCATCCCATGAACCCCGTGGCGCGCAAGCCCGTTCTGCGGAAACTGGACGAAGCGGAGCTACTGATGCTGGTGGCTGCGGCAGAATTTTCCGTGCATGGAAAAATCCCTGATTTTTAGATCATTTTCCAATGAAGCCACCCATTTATGATGGAAAATTCCATTGTTACACGGTCAGCCCCCCAAGTTATGGTTCGTTGATGATCATGAATACTATGGCACTATGGTTATGTCGGCCGTGACCCCCAGAACTTGCATCAACTTAGCCATGGTTTGGGGGCTTCACCTTATATAAAGCCAACACAAACAAATAATGTGGTGTATATATATATATATAAACCCAAGAAATAAATAGCACCCCAATATTTCCATCAATGGGTGGTAATATAGTCATCCCTGATGGGTTTACAGCGTTGGGTTTACCACATTATATAGATTATATGTATTTCTTTTTTGGTTTCAACATGTTTCAACCATTTGGTGAGTTGGAATTGTTTTAAATAAGTTTCGTAAAATCGGGGTTGCTTTTTGGGCTTGGGATGACACCAGGGTATTCAGGCTCCCATGCATAACATTACAATACCCTCTGGTAAATTAACATAGCTATTGAAAATTAGTGATTTATAGTGAATTTACCAACTGAACATGGTGATTTTCCATAGTTATGTTAGTTTACCAGAGGGTACCAAGAATTTAGCTTCGAACAACAGCTGTGGCACGAATCCACCTTCACCAGCCATGCAACGGCGAATTCCAGACCTTGGCTTTAGCCACTGCCCAGATTAGTTCATCAGAACAACATTACCACGATATTGCGGGTTCATTTATAGCAGAAGACCATGAGGTAAAACAGTCATCTACCCCCTTTTGTGGTGATTTAACGATTTGCTATGAACAATTACCATGTCCAATGGGTAAATCATCTACAAAGGGTCATTTTCCATGGCTATGTCTATCTTATACAATCACCAGAGGGCATATATCACCAAGCTTTTCAATGAATTTCTATCACCAAGTTCCCCTTCCATCACTGAGCCATTGAAAAACAAACACCTCACCGCATCATTCCATGAAAGTATATAAGTGGTTCATACGCATAAACCAAACCCAACAATAACCCAGTTGTATATGGGATATACCGTAAACCCAAATAACCAAGATATTATAAAACCATTTATCTAACCGTGATCTAACCCATATCATAGTGCAACGTAACCCACCTTAAACTCTTTAACATGTAATATTTATAGCCGTTTTTTTTTTTTAAATAGGACTTAATCAAACACACAAACAAAAAGTACATAAATTTATAGGCATATGTGTATATACATAGTCTTTATACATCTATGTGCCCTCTGATAATTTGACATAGCCATGGAAAACCACCCTTTTTAGCAGGTAAATCATCTACACATGTGCAATTTTCCGTAGCTATGTTAGACTACCAGAGGGGAATCATATCCCATTAACATATATTAACATTCCAGATAGATAGATAGATAGATGGATGGATGGATGGATGGATAGATAGATACACATACATAGCCTTTATCAATTGAACCATCTCCGAGGCAACGACTCAGTAAGTCTCCGTATCTCCTCCGTTCAGGAGATCTTAGAGAAGTTGCTGGCGCAGAAGTGTCAGAACTTCCCACAGCTCTGCAAAGCGTCCTCGGAGTGTGGCAGTGCGCTGAAGGGCGGTGCTGACAACGGCGACCTGGGATGGCTGGACGCTGAGCCGCTGGGGGGAGATGAGGTGGTAAACGAAAAATGAATCAGCTTCAATTATGGGGTTTATTGTTGGGTATACCCCTAGAAGTGGGATGTAAAATGACCCAGCAATGTCCAAAGTAATGGAGAATCTTCTGCATTTTAGCTAGGTTTCTGGGAAATTCATCGAACTACATGGGGACTTGAGGAGGGGAAAAAGCAATCTTGTGGCAAACCCAATAATAAACCATCTTCAATAGGGGTCTATTATTAGGTATACCGCTAGAACTGGGATGATGTAAAATGAACCCAAATGCTTGGTGAATGGGATGGTTTATGGCATTGGGTTTGCCACATTAATATCCAAGATTGAAATTGGAGGAGATTGAAATAATTGTTTCAGGTCGGTTATTGTATCACACACACTCAGATATACGCATCTCCGCGTGTGTATAGACTTAAGAGTCGGTAGCTACCTGTAGCATGTCCACCTGATTTCAACTGCATGGAGCGAGTAGTAACATCCATTGCCAGGTGAGGTTGTTATTGCTGGAGAAGCCCTCTGGTAATGAAACAGGGGAAGGGGACACCTACATGTACTACTGGTATTTGTAGATGTTTTTCCTCGGATAAACTCAGTTTTTGCTGGTTAAATCCAACATGTTTGTCAGTGTAGCATGCAATTTTGGGAATCACATCCCCAGTTTTGCTAGTTCAATGCACCTCTTTATCGTTTTTGCTGTTAAACATATGCATTTTTCCTGTTAGAGTTTGTGCTTCATGTTTTTGCTGGTAAAGACCCGCCGCACTTTTTGGGTTTCAAGGCACGTTCTTCACTGGATCGTTTTTTTTGGGGACAATTTTACAGGAAAAGCCTATATATTTCATGGCTAAAGACATGTAAATCCAATAGATTTTCCCATCAACCCATTCAGTTTTCCCTGATTTTCCCTGATTTTCCCTGATTTTCCCTGATTTTCCCGGATTTTCCCTGATTTTCCATGGTTTTTGCCATGATTTTCCATGGATTTTCCACGGTTTTCCACCTCAAAAAGGGGGAACAAAAAACCACAGCAGCTCTTCCAGGACCAGGCGAAGGTGGCCGCCTTGGCCCGAGCCAAGGGTCAGCCGCTGGCACCACCCAGCTCGGCAACTCGGAGCTCATCAGAAATGAAGGATTTCACAGTTTCACAGTTATTTTTGTTGGATTTAATGGGATTTAATGGGATTTTATAGTGATTTAATGGGATTTTATAGTGATTTAATGGGATTTGAATGGGATTTATAGAGACTTAATGGGATTTTATAGTGATTTAATGGGATTTTATAGTGATTTAATGGGATTTGAATGGGATTTATAGAGACTTAATGGGATTTTATAGTGATTCAATGGGATATTAATAGGATATACCCTCTGGTAAACGTTTACATAGCTATGGAAAATCACCATGCTATTAATGGGACAACTCACTATTTCTATGGTCATTTTCAATAGCTATGTTAAATTACCAGAGGGTAAATACAATAATAACAATAATAATCTTAATTTAATAATGATAGTAATAGTTTAGTGATAATTTAGTAATGATAATTTAATGATAATAATTCAACAATAATAATAATAATCATAGTAATAGTAATAGTAATAATAATAATAATCATACATTTTAATGGTGATTTTGTTTCACAGTTTTCATGTGTTATCACCATTTTTGTTGGATATAAAGTGGCAAAACATGGTGATTTTATCCAAGAAACATTGGGATTTTTCACCAAAAAAAATGAATGGGATTTCAGGGTCAAAGTGAACATGGATGTCCCAGGGTTTGTTGGGATCTCACGGCGGGATTTTGTCTGAAAGACCATGATTCCGCAAAGAAGGAATGAGGGTCTTACATATCTATCACCAATGACGATTGATGGATGGTGAATGGAAGGCTCAACCAGAAAGATCTTCAGCAGAACTGGGCAGATTAAGCAACTCCAATTGTGATCGGAGCAACGGACATGTCCAACAGAACGAGGCTGGTGCGCTCTCGAAGATGTCGAAAAAGAGATCACCTCCTGTAAGACGATCAGAGCAAACCATTGGATTCGACCATTTGCAATCGCATTATGTCCCATTTTGTCTTATTTAAACATCTAAAATCTAAAATCCAATCTTTATATATCTTTATCCACTCATCTCCCCTTGATTCATACATCCTAGCTCGAAGCAGATGCAGATTCTGCCTGGTACTTCCATCACTCTTCGGAATGATGATCCACAATGAAGTTCCTATTAGATTCCTATTGCTCAGAATTGTGGAACTATTAGCAAGAGTCACCCAATTTTAGGAATAGTATATTTTAATTTTTGGGTTCCTTAAGCATCGTAAAGCCATCGACGTTTCCTAGTTGGACCAGTTGGCTCCCTGACTTCCTGAGGCAGTTCAATCCAGCGTGCCGGTGGCAGTGGTGAAGACGGCCTTTGCACTGAAGAAGGGCGAGTTGAGCGATTTGGCGGCCCGGCTTGGCAGGGAATGCCAGATGATTGGCTGGAGCATGTGCAAAACATCTCAGTGAAAAGTAAGAGTTACAGTAAGAGCAGATCTCAAATATTTGTACCTTTTTTTAAAAACAATATATCTTTCCATAGTGATTCACTAGTTTTTCACATGTGCTTCTTCCAATTTGCATCGTTCAGCCTCTGAGGTGGTTTCAGAGGTGGGCGTCCACCTTGTCCAGCGCACAGGCTGATGGCTGGAACTGAGTTGGGTGAAGATCTTGGAGTTGGCCCAGCAGAAGGTCCAAAAATTCAAAATCCCAAGTTCTTGATCTCCAGAAAAAAACTGGATGGAGATGTTTTGAAATTGGCATCTCCCATCAGTGTTGTGCTAGAGAGCTTCCAGATGGCGATGAAGGCGGAGATGTTCGAGTTGGTCGCGTTTAAAAAGCTGCTGAGATGGCTGAGATGTGGGAAAAACTTTGGGGAAACGGCTGTTTGGTGGAAGTGAAACCCTCAAAATCGTGTTTGGGGTTCCATTTCTCGATTTTTTCGGCGTGGATTGGTGAGTCTTGTTGCTTGAAAATGAAGGCCTGAAGCTGACACGTTTCTCCCCTATAAGAATCCTTGGCGATGTGTTTTCTCAGAATCTAATTTCCCGACGCTCAAAAAATGATACAGCAATAGCAATCAAGAACAACAGCACTGTCATGACAATTCACATTCAGAATGGCATTAGCAAAATACACGTCACAAGAAAAAACAGAACAACAGTTACATCACCATTTTCATTGCAGTACGTCGATATTGTTCATCATGGCGATAGCCACAACTCATGATGATGAAACTAGTAAACAATTCATAGCGACAATACTAACAATCAACAATAATAGGCAACAGTAGCAATAATATGTGAAAACATAGTTCATGGAAGTTCACACTGACAATGCTCACAATATCTAACACTCATAATTCAAGAATTAAATCCCTACTAAATCGACTAAATCACCATATCCCCATAAATCCCCATAAAATTAAAACCATCCTTTTTCTGCCTCGAACCCCTGCCATCCCAGCGTTGTTTTTTTGTTTCCCCAGCCAGGTGCGGGTGGAGGACCGGGGCGCGGCCGGTCAGCTGGGGGGATGGTTCGAGTCCGCCAAGGATGTGACCGGGAAGTGGGTGCGGAGCCGGGGCCGGTGGGGCCGGGGGGGGATGGGGGGGAAACATGGGAAAATCATGGGAAAACCAATGGTTCTAGGATCCCTTCCATGAGAAACTTGCCCAATTGTCAAGCCACTCAATGTACCCAATGAACTAGGGATTAACCAATCAATGGAAGGGATTGGCCAGGGGAGTTACCGGACCCCGGTATATTTTCATGGGAAAATCCATGGTTTCATGAACCCAATAAGCCATGAAATCTTGCGGTTAGAAGATTGATAGGGGGGGTTGATGGTTTTAACATCTTTAAATATCTTCAATCCATTGAATGATAGTAGCTGCCATGTCCACCTATGTCCCTATTCATCACCCCATTGTATCATCCCAAATATGTGATTCTTACATTCTAAAGCCATGGTTTTTGGGGAGTGTTAAGCCTGAGGTTTTGGAACAGAGTTGGACTTTGCGGGTCCACATTTCCAACAAAAAACGTGACAACCAATTTGGGTTTTTCTTTTTGATGATTGGGATATGTCAAATTACTTATGCATAGTGGTTATTGCCTAGTTACTCCCTTCTCCCCACTATGAATAAGTAGATTGGTTTGGCAAGGGAACACCTACAGAAATCCAGGGTTTTTGCCCAGTTGAGCATGCTATGTTAGCCAACCGATCACCGGTGCCATCAGGTGTTCCTAAAGGAGGTGAGTTTGCAGCAGACGATCCCCAAGATGGACCCTTGGAATATGTGGTGGGTGGGCGTTTCATTGACACTTTATTAGATTATGATGATGATGAAGAAGAAGAAGAAGAAAAGAAGAAGAAGAAGAAGAAGCAGGAGGAGGAGGAGAAGGAGAAGGAAGGAGAAGAAGGAGTTGAAGACGACGATGATGATGGTGAAGTAGCGGAAGAAAAACTATGACATTTTATCTGAACAGAAACAAAACAACTCTGCTCGGTGTAGTTCATTTGGTTGTTTGTCTGAAAATCGGGAACCCCCAAATTCGATCGTTTCATCATTTTCCCCATTGGCAATTTTATGTTCTAGGCATTTTTCAGACAAACCACCCCGCAACATGATATTACCATAATAAACTGTATTACATCCCAATATAGCTATTGAACATGGCCCATCTATAGTTGATTACCAAAATATGGTGATGTCCATAGCCATGTTAGTTTACCGGAGAGTATATCATCTCAATATATCGTCCCATATTGGGATATATATATATATACTGGTCGGTGGTTTGGAACATTTTTTATTTTTCCATATGTTGGGAAGAATCAGCCCAACTGACTAATATTTTCAGAGGGTTGAAACCACCAACCAGTATCAGTTGAGTGCCTACTGGAACGCGAATATGAACCTCGGGATTTCGGACGCGCTTGGCCTTACGTCAGGCGGTGGAATTTTCGGAAATCGGGGTGCAGCTGCGCCGAAGGCACCAGCGGCGCCAAAGGCGAAAGCTCCACAGGCACCACCGGCAGCTCCAAAGGCACCAGCCCCTGGAATGCCACTTCCGAAATCTGCGCCAGTGACGCGCGCGCCATATGTTGCCGGAGACTTGGGGCCGACGAGCATCACCATCGTGAACGATGCTCTCGCGAGGGCAGTGGCCAGACCAGTGGCTGCGGCGAACCAGCGGCCCACGGCCGAGGCCAAAGCAAGGGGTGTGCCACCGACCCTCACATCACAAGAAGTGGCAGCGATTCAACGAGACGTTGACTCAAGGCTCAGGAGGGCAATCGGTCGTGACTGCGTTGAGACCGACATGGCAATTCGATATGCTGCGGCAAAGTTGACGGACTTCACCAGGGCGGGCTCTAGCACAACGTCGGTGCAGCTTGTGGCAAAAGCCCGTGCCGTGGCAACTCCAGCACCGAAGGCCGGAACTTCTTCCGTCGGATCAATGCTGACTGTTCACGCGGCAGGCTGGCTTGGATCAGAAACGGAGGGCTGTTCCGACCAGCAAAAACCTGTGGTCCCAACCTCTGCGGTCGGGGCCATCACACTGGTGGGGCTGCCACTCGGGCCGGGCACTGGCTCAATCGTTGCTGTGGAGGGTCAGTTTCCTCCGGCGACGTTCCCAGCTGGTCGTGACACGTGGCGACCGTACGTGACACAAGACACAGAGTTGTGGTCTTTCAGTGTTGAGTCGCCGGTCCTGTCCTTGATTTCTGGGACGACACCCGAGCCCACGGATCGAAGGAGCCTCTATGCGACTCACTCAGCCTTGGCCCCTGCCCAGCAGGACTACTACGCCCGAACAAGCCTTCCAGCAGTTGCGACATTCCTACGCATCGCTATGACGGCCAACGTCCCTGCGGAAGAGAATCAAAGAGCAAAGACAATGGCCGCAATCTTCGCAGAAGCTGGGACGATGACATCAGGGCCGCAGCATGCTGGGAAGGACGCGGTTGCGGACGTGCGTGCGCTCCAGGCGCTCGATGTCATGAGTGAGGTCTCTGACCGCTGCGGGATGGTTCAGTTTGACTTGAAGCCGGCGGTGCAGTCATCTCCTGACGATTTGGGACTTCGAATCGAAACTGTGGCAGTTGTTGATTCGCAGTACGCGGCAGCAAAGAGCGCCGTTGTGCAACCAGGGTCAAGGCTGGTCATGCAAACTGGTACGCTTGCGTCGACCGACTGTGTCGAGATGAAGATCGTCCGCCAATTCAACAGAGGGCTGTCGCTTGCCGTGAGCGACTGCCTCACAAACCTTTCGAGGGAACACGTGCTGCTCGAGGTCGCCTCTTGCAATGGAGGCGTGAGGAACTGTTTTAAGCAGTGGGCTCCTGTGTTTGGAACACAGTTCGAACCCCTACTCATCGGCATCTCAATTGCCCAGGAAGGCCTGTCGCATCCGGTGTCAAGGGAGCTGAAGCTGTTTCGCGGCGATGCGGCGTCGTTCAATCACACTTATTCCCAATCGGGGGCCGAGGCAGCAAGGGCGGCATTTGGGGCGCACCCGTTTCCAGAAGCCAGACAAGTGTGGCTCTCGCTCCGCAATGACGAGGCACACCTGCTCTTGGCGAGCTTTTCTTTGGGCCTAAGTACGATGGCCGCCGTCGATCGTGACGCTTCAGGGCACGCGGTGTGCAGGAGTCAC